TGGGCTGGATGAATGCACTACAAGGTGGGTAGAAAGCTGGCTAGATTGTCGGGCTCAACGGGTAGTGATCAATGGCTCCATGTCTAGTTGGCAGCCAGTATCAAGTGGTGTGCCCCAAGGATCGGTCCTGGGGCCGGTTTTGTTCAATATCTTCATAAATGATCTGGAGGATGGTGTGGATTGCACTCTCAGCAAATTTGCGGATGATACTAAACTGGGAGGAGTGGTAGATACGCTGGAGGGGAGGGATAGGATACAGAAGGACCTAGACAAATTGGAGGATTGGGCCAAAAGAAATCTGATGAGGTTCAATAAGGATAAGTGCAGGGTCCTGCACTTAGGACGGAAGAACCCAATGCACAGCTACAGACTAGGGACCGAATGTCTAGGCAGCAGTTCTGCGGAAAAGGACCTAGGGGTGACAGTGGACGAGAAGCTGGATATGAGTCAGCAGTGTGCCCTTGTTGCCAAGAAGGCCAATGGCATTTTGGGATGTATAAGTAGGGGCATAGCGAGCAGATCGAGGGACGTGATCGTTCCCCTCTATTCGACATTGGTGAGGCCTCATCTGGAGTACTGTGTCCAGTTTTGGGCCCCACACTTCAAGAAGGATGTGGATAAATTGGAGAGAGTCCAGCGAAGGGCAACAAAAATGATTAGGGGTCTGGAACATATGAGTTATGAGGAGAGGCTGAGGGAGCTGGGATTGTTTAGCCTGCAGAAGAGAAGAATGAGGGGGGATTTGATAGCTGTTTTCAACTACCTGAAAGGGGGTTCCAAAGAGGATGGCTCTAGACTGTTCTCAATGGTATCAGATGACAGAACGAGGAGTAATGGTCTCAAGTTACAGTGGGGGAGGTTTAGATTGGATATTAGGAAAAACTTTTTCACTAAGAGGGTAGTGAAACACTGGAATGCGTTACCTAGGGAGGTGGTAGAATCTCCTTCCTTAGAGGTTTTTTAAGGTCAGGCTTGACAAAGCCCTGGCTGGGATGATTTAACTGGGAATTGGTCCTGCTTTGAGCAGGGGGTTGGACTAGATGACCTTCTGGGGTCCCTTCCAACCCTTATATTCTATGATTCTATGATTCTATGATTCTAAGTCCTTAAACTGTTATACAAGCTAAGAACAAGGATCATTTCATTCCCCCCCATACCACAATCAAGGGGCTAAATGCGGTAGCTGTACCATAGCTTAGAACAATCAACCGAAGAACAAAGAGAGAAGCTGAGATAAGCAGCATGTAGCTGCCCAAACTGAAACAGGAGTAGGACACCAGGCTAAAGCCTTGCCTACGCTTAGAAGTTTTGCTTTTATAACTACACTGGCAAAGCCTTCCAAGTGTAGCTGTAGTTATACTAGCAAAGTGCTCTTGCCACTACCATTTATATTGGTTTGGTGAGTGAAATAAGCTATACTGTCAGAAGGGCTTTTACCAACCTAGCTACGTCATAAAAAAAATAATCACACCCCTATCTGATGGTAAAACTGAAGTGTAGACCTGCCCTTAATAGTCAGTCTTACCCTTGCAAAATGTGCCATAGGATCTTTAACAACCACATCCATATTTTGGATTTACATCTTATTTGATACCTGGAAAGATACTGAAACCAATTATTAAATAACCAATTTTTAATCACCTAAAGGAGAATAGGGTTATGAGGAATAGCCAGCATAACTTTGTCAAGAATAAATCATGCCAAACCAACCTGATTTCCTTCTTTGAAAGGGTTACTAGTCTAGTGGAGAGGAGCGAAGCAATAAACAGGACATATCTTGATCGTAGTAAGGCTTTTGACACAGTCTCACATGACATTTTCATAATCAAACTAGGGAAATGTGGTCTAGATTAAATTACTATAAGGTGGGTGCACAACTACCTAAATGACCATGCTCAAATAATAGTTATCAATGGTTCACTGTCAAATTGGAAGGGTGAATCTTGTGGGGTCCTGCAGGGGTTAGTCCTGGGTCCGGTACTATTCAATATTTTCATTGACTACTTGGATAATGCAGTGGAAAGCATATTTATAAAATTTGCAGATGACACCAAGTTGCGAGAGGCTGCAAATATTTTGGAGGACAGGATTAGAATTCAAAATGACCTTGACAAATTGGAGAATTGGTCTGAATTCAACAAGATTGAATTCAATAAAGATAAATGCAAAGTACTTCACTTAGGGAGGAAAAATGACATGCACAACTACAAAATGGGGAATAACTAGCTAGGGGATGGCACTGCTGAAAAGCATCTGTGGATTATAGTGGATCACAAATTAAACATGAGTCAACACTATGATGCAGTTGTGAAAAAGGCTAATATCGTTCTAGGTTGTATTAACAGAAGCGTGGTACGTAAGACTCAGAGAGGTGACCCGCTCTATTTGTTACCAGTGCGGCCTGGAGTACTGTGTCCAATTCTGGGCACCACACTTTAGGAAAGATATAGACAAACTGGAGAGAGTCCAGAGCAGAGCAACTAAAGTGGTAAAAGGCTTAGAAAATCTGACCTATGAGGAAACATTAAAAAAAACTGGCCATGTTTAGTCTTGAGAAACGAAGACTGAAAGGGGACCTGATAGCCTTCAAATATATAAAGAACCGTTATAAAGAAGACAGTGATCATCTGATTTCCATCACCACTGAAGGTAGGACAAGAAGTAATGGGCTTAATCTGCAGCAAGGGAGATTTAGTTTAGATATTAGGAAAAACTTTCTATCAGGGTAATTAAATTCTGGAATAAGCTTCAAGGGAGGTTGTGGAATCCCCATTATTGGAGATTTTTAAGAACAAGTTAGACAAACACATGTCAGGGATGGTCAAGGTTTACTTGGTCCTGCCTCAGTGCAGGAGGCTGGATTTGATGACCTCTCAAGGTCCTTTCCAGGCCTACATTTCTAGGATTTCTACAAAGGATCTAGGGTAAAATTTTCAAAAATGCTTACAAGACTTTGGAGCCTAAATCCCATTGACTTTCAATGAGACTTTGACTTCTAAGTCATTGATGAAAATAGGACTTGGCTTTTAAGTCATTTTGGTGCTTTTGGTATCTCCATCAGAACAGAGGCCAGCTGGCACTGTTCAGCACAGACTCAAACCGAAGAATGCCACCTACTGAATTACCAACACTACAAAGGTGTTTTTTTGGAGGTCTCCCATTCCACTACTAACTAGGCCAAACGATGTCTTTTTACAAGATGTGACGGTATCTCCAACAGAGGTGGTTTGATTTTCCCTTTTATAACCTCAAAAATATACCAATGACAAAAACATGCAAGTCTAAATGTTGCAAACAAATAAAAACAAGAAAATCTCAAAAACAAAACCCCCTCAAACAACCCCTCCTGAAAAACCACCATTACCACCAAACAAAACAGAAAAAAAAAAAGCCACACTACTATATAGTTCATTTTATTCTCCTTCTTCCCCACACCCATTATTACAATGTTTCATATTGAAGGATCAAAGTTAGCACTGTCATAAGAGGCTGCAACTCCATTGATGTCAAAGGAGTTATGCCATTGCTGAACTAGGTGTTGAGAGTGTTCAAGTGTCACATTTTTTGTCTGCCCTAAAACAGTGGGTCTCTTTTCCAAGAAACCTTGTTAAGCGCTAAACTAGAAACCACATTCCTTTGCAGCTACCATCAGAAATCCACATGAAGTCCCTATCACCCCTTTGGCAGAAGCCTATATTCAGCTGTTAGTAAAACCCAAAAGAGAACATGTAATAAATACAGTCTGCTGCATCATGTTTAAAGTGGTTCTTCAATCTGTCACATCTACGTGCGTTCCTATTAATCCTTTCCTGGTTTTGCTAACAACCACATATCAGGTGACTAGTCTGATGAATGGAATATTTTTATAACCAAAAGTCTGTGGAGTCCTAAATGATGCAAGAGACTAGCTGAATGGTCAGTACTAACAGCTATATTGTGTAATCACTGCAATGAGCTGAGGCAACAAAAATGTAGAGCAATCCATCTCTGGTGCGTAATTTACAGTGACATAAGAAAATACAGAATGGTTTATTTCACAAGTGCCATTTCTGATTTAGTAGGAGATGCAGCCGATTAAAAAACAGCTGGATTTAAAAGGCTAAGGTAAAAGATGCAGGAAACATTATGGGTGTTTACCCTACAGTAAAGTCCATTCAAAGACCTAGGCAGATTTAGAACTGAACTCCTGCCTCTTTTTTGTGTGATTTAACAATTACCCATGTTGTTAACAACCGTTAAACTAGGTAATAAATATAAAGGGCTGCACTTCTGATTGGTAGACTTCTATAAATAGCACATGAATGCCTGAGACATCTACTAAAAGCCTGTGACTTTTAATTTAAAGAGGAACCACAGTCTTAATGGTGATAATGGAAATTAACAGAAATTAAAAGCAGCGTGTTGCATTTCTTTGAAACTCTTCAAAGCTTTTAGCTAAGATGGCTAATAGACCTTTGCTACCAGAAGAAAACCCATTACAATTAGAGAACTATAATGTCATAAATATTGTTTCATAATGTATTTAACAATTTTCTTCATAAAGCAAGAGAGTATATCAAATATGTAATCACACAAACACCAATTCCTACATGTCTCATATTGATTGGCTTGGGCTTATCTGATGGTAAGCTTGAAAGCTCATCTCTTTCACCAACAGAAGTTGGCCCAATACAAGATATTACCTCATCCACTTTGTCTCTCTAATATCCTGGGACCGACACAGCTACACCATCACCACTGCATACGTGATGCGATGGAAGCCGCATGCTAACATTTCAAAGAATGTTCATCACACCTGCAACGTACTGAGGTTGTGAGAGCACCCACCAGCTACAGGGTTAATGGTTGAAAGAGATTTGGAGAAACAATATGTCAGGTGAAAAAAAATTCAAGATGAGACATAAAAGCATGAAAAACAAACAGAAAAAAAATCTCTTGATTTCTACTGATGTTCAATATACAAGGAAAAGAGAAGCCAGGGATGTAATGCATGGTCTTACCTCTATGCATTATCTTATGTTTCTCTCTCAAATATGTGAGACCTTTTATTACCTAGAGAAAAGAAAATTCAACATTTCAAAGCTGTAAAACCAGTAAAAATGAAAACATGAGTTTCGTCCAAGCAAGAATTTCAAAATGTCATCTACAATCAAAAGCACAATACACCATGGCAAGAATTGAAAGAGAAAATAAAGGCAGTCATGTTCAAATTTAGACTCCAATTTGCCATAAAAGAGAATAATGTTAACCAAACAACCACCAGAAATGTCATGGACACAACCTACTGCAGTACAGATACTTAAAGGGTAACATTCCAAACATTTTAATAGGCGGTCTTTTCAGACCATTTGAATTATTTTGCTGGTTCTTTTCCCACACAGTGGTAGTAACAGCAGCTGACATCCGTTAGCGGGAAATCAAAGCAAACATACGCAATGGAATGTGTGTGATCCATCCAAATGCCCTTAGTTACAAAGTGGTGACATGTATTTTAAAAAAAAACAAAAAAAACCCCACCACTTTAAAGCCCAGTAATATTTGCCTGTCCCACTTAAATTTTCCTCAATCCCACAAACCAGCTGCTTTTGCCTTCTGGATCTGGCACTATCCTAATATAATATGGAGACATCTGGTCCCTGCTTCCCAGAGTAAATTACAAATATACTTACAGCAATGCTAACTTTGCCCAAAATCTGCTCTGGAATTCTTCCAGCTTTTTTCAGTACTTGATCCAAGGACCCACCATCCTAATAATAAGTGTTTGAACATTAAAACATTAATCATATTTATCCAAAACATTTTAAAGCCTACAGTCTGGGAGGAAAAAAATCTTGTAATTTTGAAGGCAGACAATGTGCTGTTTCCCATTGCTCATGATGAAATAAACTATCCTTTTTGCTTTATATTGTAGTGGTGAGTATCAGGGAAAAAAGTGCAGCTGATCATTAGAAAAGGTTAATCAGTTTTATACTAATCTGATCAAACAACCTGAGACCTGTCAACCACTGAGGTGGCCCCTTGTGTCATTTAATGGTCTTCTGGCCTTGTATAATTCCACGATGCACAGGCTGATTCTCCTTACTAAGGAGGCCTTGCCCATGACCAGCAGTGACAAAGCACTAGGAGTGCAGTAAGATTTCCACAGCCTACAGTTGTATTTAGATCCATTTTAACTGTTCTTTGCATGTCCATGGGGTGCACTGTCTCTCTTTTAGATGCTCAGGATTTAGACAGGATGGAAGGTTTATATCTTGTGATCTGTGATGGTCTGAGTTGATCTTTGGGATAAAGGCAAGACCAGACCTCAGAATCATTTTATCTGGATGGGAAATACAGTACTCTAGTTCGATGTAATATACACAATAGACAGGAAGATTGTCCAGTAGCACACAGTGGCTCTAAGCAGGATCAGGACCCCATTGTGCTATGTACAGTGCACAGAGATGGACACCCTCGAAAGCTTATAATCTAAGACGACAAGGAACATAGGGAAGGCATCAACCATATACAGTTTTTTCATACATTGTCTGTATATGTTTTGATTCTGTAATTCTATTTCCCTAACACTCGGAGTAGACAGTATAGCAATTATGAAAGACACCTGAAGACCAACCTCAAAGGTTAACAGGAGTTACTGAAGAACTTTGAGCACTAGGTAGGGAATTATTTAACTATTTATCAGCTCCACTGCACTCAGAAATCTGGGAATATCAACCTCTCTCTTTTGCAACAAATAACACTGAGGTTGTCGATAGCATATTCCTTAAAAAGAAAAGGAGTACTTGTGGCACCTTAGAGACTAACCAATTTATTTGAGCATGAGCTTTCCTTGGAACCCCACTGATAGCCAGTCCCGTACGAACTCTAGGCAGTATTTATGGTAACGGAGGATCATAGAATCATAGAATATAAGGGTTGGAAGGGACCCCAGAAGGTCATCTAGTCCAACCCCCTGCTCGAAGCAGGACCAATTCCCAGTTAAATCATCCCAGCCAGGGCTTTGTCAAGCCTGACCTTAAAAACCTCTAAGGAAGAAGATTCTACCACCTCCCTAGGTAACGCATTCCAGTGTTTCACCACCCTCTTAGTGAAAAAGTTTTTCCTAATATCCAATCTAAACCTCCCCCACTGCAACTTGAGACCATTACTCCTCGTTCTGTCATCTGCTACCATTGAGAACAGTCTAGAGCCATCCTCTTTGGAACCCCCTTTCAGGTAGTTGAAAGCAGCTATCAAATCCCCCCTCATTCTTCTCTTCTGCAGGCTAAACAATCCCAGCTCCCTCAGCCTCTCCTCATAAGTCATGTGTTCCAGACCCCTAATCATTTTTGTTGCCCTTCGCTGGACTCTCTCCAATTTATCCACATCCTTCTTGTGGTGTGGGGCCCAAAACTGGACACAGTACTCCAGATGAGGCCTCACCAATGTCGAATAGAGGGGAACGATCACGTCCCTCGATCTGCTCGCTATGCCCCTACTTATACATCCCAAAATGCCATTGGCCTTCTTGGCAACAAGGGCACACTGCTGACTCATATCCAGCTTCTCGTCCACTGTCACCCCTAGGTCCTTTTCCGCAGGATGCCAATGTGTCACGCACACCACCAAATGCAGACACAGGGGACAGGCTATGACTCACCAACAGAAAAAAAATTTAAAAAAATTGTTTTTCAGATTTCATGTTGAGTAACTACTCCACTAATTTTACCGGAGTTAAATAAGTTACTAACACATGCACTTACACCCTTTCAAATTCAAGCAACTCTGTTGCTAAGAGCTTCAGAGAAGAAAAGCTGTATAAATGATACTTATTTTTAGCAACCGATTATGATCTAATTCACAGTAGCCTTGTGCAGATTTTCTAGAACAGAGACTACATAACAAAAACAGAACTTCTAAATTTTATTTCTTTAAAACAAAAGCAAGATCCAGTTACATGGCTGATGATTTGCAATATTCCAGAGTTCTTGAAATCATATCCGCAGGCATGGGTAATATTTTTCTGCTGCCTTTTACAAAACACAGCAGTGGAAAGTACTCTGTCACTTTTCATACCCCTAAAGAGAACAATATAGTATGCAAGCTACAATGCAAGCTTTTATAATTCAGAGGAGTGCACCCCAACATTCCCAGGGGAAATATTTTAAAAAGTGCATATGAGCCTATGTTAAATGTTGTACTCACATTCATGTAATCAGATGTGAATTCAGCCGAAAGAAATAAAAGCACCAATAGAAAAAAGTGCAAAAATATATATATGTAAAATACATACATTACATAATATGTAGAAAAAACATGTAGTCCTTTTTTCTCAGAAACTGATTCATCAGAGAGAAGGATTCACTCTCCAAGGCAATCAATAGACCTTTGAATCAGGCCCCAGTCCTGCAAGGTGCTGATACCTTCAATTGCTATAAGAAAAGGAGTACTTGTGGCACCTTAGAGACTATTTTGTTAGTCTCTACGGTGCCACAAGTACTGTTTTTCTTTTTGCGAATACAGACTAACACGGCTGCTACTCTGAAACCTTCAATTGCTATGAAAGTCTAGGAGCTCAGCAGCTTTTAAGAGCAAACCCCGAATATTTTGCTTGTCAAGCACTTGTTGCTAGCTGAAGTTAAGATTCACTTCTGATATTTTCAGCTGGACAATAATTTAAATCCCCCCTTAATCTGCATTGATAGGATTTTCTTTGTTCCTGTAAAAATTATTCCTTCTTATTGTTCTTACTCCTACTGACTGATAAGTTTAGCTTCCCTTATCAATTGTCTGCATTTCCTAACTGCTGTATTTGTATTCATTGCTATCAGCTTCTCCATTTGTATGTGTAATACACACTCACACACAGCATGCACTTATTTCACCTCTCCTCTTAACCAAGATGGCTTTTAACTAATAGAAATAATCTTTCATGATTGCAGAATTGTGTTTTTTGGGCATCTATCAAAGCATTTTTACTACAATTACCAATCATCATTCCTGTTTTTATGTTTAAGCATTTCCACGCATTCAGTTTTCCTCAAGATTGGTTTCAACTTTGGGGAATAGGCCTCTTTAAAGCATCAAATATATATATTATTGGATAGCACCGTATTCTGTTTGCACATAGTAAAATAAATTAGATTGTGATCACATGCATCTAGGCAACCATACATTTTCCCTAAAGATTTCCTTTAAAGAAGGTCAAGGCAAAATTAATATAACCACATATAATATCCCCAGAAAATAAAATAAACCTTCTTTCTATAAATACCATTTTATTTGAAAGAAAATGTGGTTCTTTGAACAGAAATTGTTCAAAGCCTCCTGTGCCTGATGAGCAAGGGAGGGATTTGATTGACCTTTAATCACAGAAAAATTGCTCTAAACATTGGGCTCCATATGGCTTAGAGAAATGTTGGCAGATGGCTAGAATAATGTGTACTTTTCTATCAAAATGAAAAAGTCAAAAAAATAACGTTGGTATGAAACAACCGTTGTTTATGGTGCTTCTGGTCTTGCTAGTTTCCCCTATACTTCCTCTAAGATTTCACAAAGGATGGGCAGGGCAGATATCATTTCAGAGAGAACAGAGGGAATGTATCTACACTAGAAAAATTAAATACCTATATTTACAGAAGCTGCACCAATGATAAGCCACCACTGGCATTACAGTCCAGGTATTTTTAACACTGTGTCAAAAAACCCAGCTCAGAACTCGTTTTCAAGTGGTAAAAAACAGCTGACCCCTTTTTACACCGGTGGTCACAATGATGGCTACTTTTGGTGGAGCTGCACCAATGCTGGTAGTTGCTGCAAAATGAGATTATTTTTCCCCTCACACTCCTCAACAGTAACGCCTCTGATTAATTAAACAGCATGTGGACTGGCTGTAAGAATGGTCGCTATAATGTGGATTCTCAAAGACTAGGGATAAAGGAGAAGAAAATAGGGACTTTTGTAGGACTCTGACAGATATGACAGGATCAGTCTCTGGAAAGGGCGTAAAAACATAACCATCTTGTAACCATGCTAAATGCAAAGTCCTCAGATTTTCACGGTAGAGCTGAACTCCAATATTCCACTCCTCATACATGCAGAAAGGCTCCCAAGTTAACAGAAGTTCTATGAATATATTCAGAATATGGTATCTATTGGATTTTATATTCACAGGAGTCTGATACCAAAATTTAGATTAACACACACAGATACACATGTACTTACCATGTGTTCCATGCAAATGCTGATCTCTCCATCACTGTAAAAAGCTCCATAAAAGCCCACTATGTATGGAGAGTTACATTCATGTAGAACTTGTAGCTCACGAATGATCTGGTTTCGAATAGCTGGTTTGATCTCTAAGTGAATTAACTGTAAAATAAATCAAATTGTTATTGTTCCCTCAGTGACAATTAAAAAAAAATAATACATGACTTGGATGCTACAATATTTATTTTAACCCACTGAAATAATAATACTAAGCACTGTAGGCATACCTGTTACGGGGCGGAGGGAGAGGAGTTCCATATTTGTACCCTTTATAAAAACAACAGTATGTAAATTCCAGTGCTCATGAAAAGATGCTGGATTTACAGCAATGGAGAGTGAAGTTCTAATTATCCTCAGAATAGATACAGTACACATAGAGCAATGAAAGTTCCCCATATGAACCGTACCAACTTGACATGAATAGAAGGCTCTGAAGACAGGGGATAGCTCAGTCTCCATGCCTAGTTAATAGCTTGCTTTTCTGGTGAAACTGACAAAGGATGCAATTTGCAATATGCAACTTTTCTGTGCATGTGTGTGGCCACTAGGGAATGGTCTATTTCAACTAAAACAAATTTAATATAAATAACACAACCTCAAATGAGATATGAAAAAGTCTTATTATACAGTGAGTGCACCAAAGGTGTGGATTTTTATTTATTTATTTTTCAAGTGGAGGACATTTCTGACATTCTAGAACTATACAAGTAAGCCCCAACATTGCAGATGAGAGTACTGTGTAAAGACATTTTCTTCCTCGATTTAAAGACAAGCAAAATACAAAAGAAAACAACTATATTAAAACAAAAATGCAAGATAATCTTCCCAACCTACAGTGGCAGTAAGAAAATTGCTCTTTTGATAAAAATTAAAATTCTAATTATGATAAGTAAAAGATAATCTACTATAATTGTTAAAATGCAACATGTTACTCTTTGCTCTATGACAATCACAGTTCTTGAGAGACATTAATTATAGCATAAAAGAATACCTGATGTATAGTACTTATATTACCAGGAGTGGGATTTTTCATCTTTTCAAGAAGTTGTTCAGTGGGAACATTTTGTTCCAATGCATTTTTTTTCCTCTTCCATCTATTTACGGTTAATGGATCTATTTCAGTTATTGAGACTATGTATACTGAGAAAAATCCACGAATGAAGTTATATAGTAAAATATGTCACAAGGTCTAATAGCTTTCAAGCAGCTGCAGAAAGACATCTGTCCAGATGTTTGCAAAGCAATGTCCCAAATACATTCAGTGAAGAATGAATTCAGTCACACCTCGGGCATTTAAAAAAAATTCATCAGTATGAATATATATCTAAAGAGAAGCTATAAAATTACACTTTTTAGCTAGACTATGTTTTGCCTAATGCAAAATAAAGGGTTTTTATTTCTCTCATAAAGAGAGCAGATTCTGAGAATACTTTATGGAAAACAAATGGTGCTGGGGACATTTAAAAAAAAAGCAATTAAGCCAAGATATCACCTATAGGCTATTAAATCAATTAAGTGTCAAATGACACAAACTAGGCTGAAATTCCCTCTAAACGTTTTATAAAATGAGTGAAAAAAAAAAAAGTAAATCAGTTCCGTGCAAGAGACTCTCACTGATCTGCATGCTTCAGAAGTCTCACCCTGAAAAAGGGCCAACTCGCCTTGATTCCCACAGCTTTGATAGTAGAACATTATAACGATGTATATTACTGAAGAGAACCGATTGGAAATTGTTTTTTTTCCCCATGGAAAATTTTGATGCAAATGAAAATAATGTCACTTTCTTGAAAATTTTCTGTGGAAATGGTGGACTTTTGAGCCAAAAATTTGAACCAAAAACTTTCAGCTGAAAACTCGGATTTTGAAATTCTGCCATGGTGCCTCACAAGGGTTATAATGTGGGTGCCTCATGCCCCATTCCCTTCTGGGCCAGGGGCTCCATAGCTGGATTACATCTCCTGTGATTTATGATGACCTCCCCTCTTGCTGAGCCAAAGCAGGGCATAATAGATGTTCCTGACCACAGTGCTTCATGAGAGATGTAGTCTGGCCAGGGAACCCAGCACATAGAGAATGGGGGAAAAAGGCATCTGAACTACAGTTCTCATGAGATACCAGAGCAGCATTTCAAAATCAAAGGTTTTTTTTGTTTTCAGTGAAAGTAAAGAAAACCTCCACAAAACGCGGACACTTCTCATGAAAAAATTCATGTACCTGAAATCCAATTTTTCAGATGAAAATGAGTTTTGATGGAAAGTTTTCAATCTACTCTTCTTACAGAAACTGCCAGACTGCTGCACTAGTGTGGGGGGGGGGGGGGTGAAATGGAGCTGAACCATCACAGTCCCTGCCCCCAACAACCACCTGGACCCAGAACTGTAGAGGGGAGACCCCTCTTCCATACTGGGGGCACTAGGGTCCAAGTGATGCCTCACCTCCACTCCCCAACCCACACCACCATATGACCTTGGGGGGAAACTGCAGAGAACAGGCAGCCAGAGACTCTGGCCAGTAGAACCAGAAGTAGCCAAAGGAGGGACCTCAGGACCCCTGGATATTCTAGTGAGAACTGCAGAAAGTTCTCCAATAGCCTCTGCCCTGTGCTGATTGGCTGTTTTCTCCCTCTCTTCCCACCCACCAGGACAGTCTCTTCAGTCAGCTTCATTCCACACCCACCCCCCCCCACCCTATTCTCCCTTCCACTTTCCATTTAGCTGATCCCCTCTTAACTAAAACCATCTCAAACAATAAATAAATTGTGGCAATAACATGATGTTATCACCATCACATTGTTCATGCTACTTGTGTGTTTATCCCTTTCCCCTGTCTGCATTGTCTATTGAGAGTGCAAGCTACTCAGGGCCAGGGCAGTCTGCTGCTCTAGGTTTTTGCAGCACCTAGGACAATGGGACCCTATTCTTGGTTGGCCCTTAGTTGCTACTCTAATAAACATGATTAATAATCATGATTTACTAGCATGCTATGCAATATTAAATAATTACATGACACTTGCCAAATGCATACAGTTACATTTTTTATTTCGCCAGAAAGAGCTCTTCCTGTGGCAGTGTATTCCTACCACACAGACAAGGGGCTCTTCCTGAATTCCAGTGAAGGAGACAGGGGGGCTGAGACAGCGGTTCCATCGGCCATTTCCCCTGCTCCACAATAAAGGAGCCCTGACGGTGCAGTAGCAGACACAGAGTAGGTCTACTCCTCTTCGGCAGCCTGTGGAGGGAGAAGTATGAGGAGAAGAATTTCCCGCTCCTCCAACCCCAACAGTGTAAAACGTATGAAGCCTCTGTACACAAGCCTGGCTTAAGGGACAGGATATGCCGCTATGCTAATCCAAAACATTTAGTAATTAGTTGTGGATATCCTAGTCATTAGTGAGGTTCTATCGTGTATTTAGATTTTGCGTCAGAGAGAGAAGATTTTTGGCAGTAAATAAAATACCTCTTACTTTACAAAATATGAGAAGCTGCTAACAAAAAAGGGAGGGGATTATTGGCCTTTCATCGCGACAACATGGAACATAATACCATCTCCACAGATAGGGGAAGTGGAGGCTAAAGAAGTATTTGACCTTTGCTATTTTGAGAAGGCATCTCCACTTCTCCTGGAAGTGGTCTTTAGTAATATTCTGTATGTCAATGTCACTTTGTGATGGGCACTAAGCTTTGAAAAGGCATCATTAAAGCTCCTGTTGCCACGGAGGTTCTCACCTTTCTTGCCATAATGAGGCCAGAAGGTTTGTGAGATACTTTGAAGACCACACCGCCGTTTCCTGCTCCCAGTTCACTGATTTTCTCGAAGTCGTCATCCTTCAGTTCCCCAACTTTTTGCTTCTGAGTAAGGAAAGCTTCAAGACGTTTACGTTGCTGCTCATCCAATTCTAACTCTTCCAGCTTCTTCTGCAGCGCCTCTAAATTTGTCCTATGCAGCAAAGAGAGTGTAATTTGATTAAGCTATCTGATCTCACTAAGGAGATGTCTACACTACAGCCGTTACAGTGGCACAGATATGGCACTGCAGCACCATTGTATAGACACTTCCAACATCAACAGAAGGGGTTTCTGCATCAATATAGTTAATCCACCTCTCTGAGAGGTGGTACCTAGGTCACTGAAAGAACTCTACTGTCAACCTATCCATATCTACACTGGGGGTTAGGTCAATCTAACTACAGGAGTCAGGGCGTGAAGTTTTCAGCTCTGAATGACATAGCCAGATCAATCTAACTTTTACATGTAGACCAGGCCTAAACAATGTTGCAGGGGTGAGAGAAGCAGTACCACTGAAATCAAAGACTACTGGAGTAAGACCCTGAATCCTTACACTTACATGCATCATCTTGCCGGATCACGTCTTACGTGCTCTCACAAAAGTCACACAACTAGGTCCTTGGTGTATGTAAATAGTTTCAGTACAGACAAAATAATACAAAAGTAGCTAGATAATGTCTATCCCCCTCCTCTTTGAGGCACTGGACCAAATTCATGTCTGGTGGAACTCCTTGATCCACCTAGTGGGTTCAATGACTCCGCAGTACTCGTTAATGGTTTGATTAATATTATACCACCTCCACACAAACTATTTTTGGATTCAGATTTTTAATAGGTGATATGCAACTTCCTGCAAAGTTTGTCTGAATGTTTTAAACACTGATCTTCACGTGTGATTAAAGATCTGACAATCCATTCAAACACCTCTCACTTGCATTGTGATACAAAGAAAGTCAGAGAGTTTAAGGCCACAAGGGACCATCAGATCATCTCGTCTGACCTCCTGTATGTCACAGGCCACCAAGACCACCTAATACTCACACATCACCCCAACAACCAGTATTACACCAAAGTATTACAATCCTCCAGAGACTAAATTTTTGTGTACCACAGGCAGAGAACAGGAGCAAATAAAGCATAGCCAATAGAATAAAGCAATTAAGCCATTCAAATCATGCACAAACAGAAAATACATACATAAAATAGCCACTTCAGGGACAAAATAAACTGCTTCAATAATAATCAGTCAAAAAGGTTTCAAGTTCACCACTTATTCTGGTCAATAACATGCCAACCAGAAAGCTTGATTTAATATTGGTAGAAAAATAAAGAGCCGAATATAGCAATTCAAAGGACAGCTAAATTTGGGACAGCAGCCAATACATTCAACTTCTACATGAAGAAAACAAACCATAATTTAACTCCAGATCTTAAAAGTATTTCATATCTAAGAAATAGTACATCTGAACAAGAACCCATGCAGATACAGCGATTCCTGAATCCAACAATAATAATAAATTGCAGCTGCAGCAAATATCTAGGGACAAGCCTTCAAATTATTGCTCAGCCAAATCATGAAGCTCTTACCCAGGCAACATTCCCAATGAACTCAGTACTGTGAGAGTAAGGATTTCAGGAGCTGGCTCACAGCCTTTTAGAGAATGCAGCAGGAACACTTTCTCTAGGGATGATTTTAAAGAAGTGAAGGATGATATCCAGCAAAACCATTTATAAGCATCACTTTATAAATACTCTTCACTTTCGAAACCATGGCTGAAGGGAAGATGCATTCTGAGTTCTCAGCCAGACACAGACCACTCTAAACAGCAGCGACAAATTATCTTAATATAGCAATAAGTCTGAGTGGACGGTAAAATTATCAGGCACATGACTTCCCTCACTTCACTTCCGCTAAACTGCTCCTTCAGAGCCAAAGAGAGCACCCAAAATTAGAAGTTATCCCTCTTTGAGCTTCCACAGCAGACATGGAATTAGCATCAAGAAGGGGTAAGCAGGTTCAATTAAGAGCCCATTTGTGAGAAAACTTAATCCAACCATCTGAACATGAAAGGGTTAAAAAAAAACAAAACCACACCTAGGCATTGTTAACAGCCCTTTCCCTGAATATGATCACAATCATGATTTGTACGCCACCCTACTCTTAGATCAGTTAGAAGTCTGAATGGTTGAGTTAGACAAGACACAATTAAGGTTAACTTAGTTCTTTCTAAGCATTATCCCTTTATTAAGCAAGTTGTATACAGAGTATGAGAATTCCTGAGGTCTATTTCTCCAGTACTGAAGCCTATTCTCATTGCAATAATGCTGAATTTAATAGTGATTTGCTAGCGGACGCACACGATCAGCTCATCCACCCTTACCAAGAGGATGAGCAGAAATATAATATTTTACTCACTTATTAATAAAAAAGAACGAAGGAAAAGAAAAATGCACAATCTACTCACCCTGGACAAGTGTAATTTTGCAAGGCTACTTTACATATGAACTAGTCTACATGGGAAAATTTCCTGGCATAACTATACTATAATCATTTTTCTGCACTATAGTAATACCATTTTAAGTCCCTGTGTGGACACTTTATTCTGGGATCAAAGTGATTTTATTCAGAAATTAAACAGAATAATTTGGAAGCAGAGTAATTATACCAGAATCAAGTTCCACACAGGGATTTACACCAGTATCACTATAATGGAATAGCTATTTCAAGATAGCTGTAACAAGACATTTTCCCATGTAGAAAAGCCCAATAGCTAAAGGAGTCCAGCAGACAGACACTATTGTAAAGTTGAGCTGTAAAGAAAGAGGCATACTTTTTCCTCATCTAACTTCCCAAGCATAAGACTAAAAGCCAACTAGCAAACTAGAATTTTCTCAAATATGCCCAGTGAAAAATAACTTAGCATCAGGTCAAGTAAAATATATATTTCAGGGAATGCAGCTGTCCTCCGTTTCTTTTCTTACTGAGATAATTACATGATAAAAATAAGAGCAGGCAATGATTAACAGGAGTTAAGTACCCTTTATTATGTTACAGTAAACTCTTGAGCATTGATGCAAGCAAATTCTATATCCTGCACCGGAAGTTTGCTGACAGATGAGAATAAGCAGCTCATGTTTTCAAAGAACACATGCTGACAGGCCCACTCACCTCATGTCCACTTACTATGTCAGAGAGTGTACCATGTCAGCTAAAGTCTTCAGCAGGTTATAGTTTAGTCAAATGGCCATGTGCTACACTCACAACTCGCCAATAAGAGACCAGAGTGTCCATTCATCATGGGCCACTTCACCTTGAATGGTCCCTTAGCATATGTGCTAACTAATTTATGCTAAAGCGGCAAAGAGTCCTGTGGCACCTTATAGACTAACAGAAGCATTGGCGCATAAGCTTTCGTGGGTGAATACCCACTTCCGACGAATACCAACGAAGTGGGTATTCACCCACAAAAGCTTACGCTCCACTTCATCGGATCACCCACGAAAGCTTATGCTCCAATACGTCTGTTAGTCTATAAAGGTGTCACAGGACTCTTTGCCACTTTTACAGATCCAGACTAACACGGCTACCCCTCTGATACTATTTATGCTAAACTAGCTGTTCGATCTTGTATTTATCTGTGGCACTCGGAGTGCCTTTCCCAGACCTGAAAAAGCGCTCTGTATAGCTCGAAAGCTTGTCTCTCTCACCAACAGAAGTTGATCCAATAAAAGATATTACCTCACCCACCTGGTCACTGAAGCAGAACTAAACAACAAATATTCCATGCACATTCCTAACCAATGTTGAACATATTGTGTAATAAAGAGATACAAAGACAGATAAATACACTTTGGAAGTACAGCTCTATATGCTTTATGGGAAAGCTACAAAATTACAGGAGGGTGAGGAGAGCGATATTCTTTGGGTCACCCATCCAAATTTTGCATCCTTTAAAATGTCTCCCTATGGACACCTGGAGCACCTTCCCAGAGCTTCAGTACACTCCCATTAAAACTGAACTCCTTCATAGTGTCCTTTTCAGCTACTTAATTTATTTATTTGCATTAAATAGGGCCTGTGATGATCAAGAACATATGGTCCATTAAGGTGTATTAAACCAAAGAATAATTTTTCTCTAACATGATTTCTATGCAGAAGACACACTGTCCTGGGTCTAACACAAAGGGCCAGATTTTCAAAAGAGCTCAAAGACGGATGTATAAGTGCTCAGCCACCATAACTGGGGCCTGTCTTTCAAAAGACCTCAGATCCTATTTAGGCACCTAGGGCAGGATTTTTTAAAGCACTCAAGTTGTTTAGAAGGACAAGTCTCATTGAAATTCAATGGACTTGTGCTCCTAAGTCACTTAAGCACTTTTGAAAAGCATATGCCTAAATAACAGAGCGTTCAGCACTCAACATGTTCAGCTCTGGCCACCGACTTTGGTGCCTAAATGGGGACTGAGGTCTTCTGAAAATCTGGCCTCGATGGGGAATAACAACTTTAGAAAAATCTGGTCTGTATGCCACTGACTATTGGGGGAGGGGGTGCCAAAATCCACGTCTTTATTTGCAAGTAGTCTTGAGGGGGACTGTTACACTTGCTAACAAAAGGCCTGCTACAAAGCTTCCCTTTAAGGGGCTCGTGCACCCTCTTGAAGGCCAGTCAGAGGAAACAAGAGATTCTCTCTCAGTGGTAGGAATACACAACTGGAAGGACCAAGAAACCAGACTCATATACAGACAGGATGCCAGACAACTTTTCAATATCCTTTTTGAGGAAGAGAAAAATTCCAATTAATCCAGCATTTTCTCTTTGCAAATCTTACAGCTGCCATATTGCTCATATGGAATATCCTTATCAATTGCCACAGATAAGAAATACAGTATAAGATTTCAGTTAGTCAGGGAAAGGGTGATCTGCACGACTTAAAAAAAATCTCTAGCAACACCACATTGGTAGTTAAGTTCTCAAAGGCTGAGAATTTGAATTAACCCAGGGAACTTAGAAGTTTGGAAGAGCAGAGGAAAATCTCGATTCTTTCGATCCTTACCAGGTGAAATTCCCCATAACAGCTAAGTTGTAGAGTGAGGAACATGGTGCAAGAGGAATGGAGAAAGTCCTACAGATCCCCGAGTTTCTTTAGATC